ATTTATTATTTTATTTTTTGTCTTTCTGAGATGGGGGTCTGTCTCCCTGTAGCCTCAAGTGTCCTGGAACTCACTATGTAGACCAGGTTGGCCTCAAACTCACAGATAGCTACCTGAAACCCTTTGAAAGAACAATGTTTCAGATATTACAATACCTGATCCCAAATTATAGAGCCATAGTAATAATACCAGCATGATACTGACCCATAAACAGACATGTAAACCAATGAAATAGCATAGAGGACACTGAAAAAATCCTACCACTTAATCTTTTGCAAAAATATGCAAAACACACACTAAGGAAAAGAAAAACTTAAAAAAGGATTAAAATGTATTTCTGTATATATATTCTTTAAAGCTAGATCCTTAACTCTCAACTTGCACAAAAACCAATTCAAAATGGATCAAAGACATTAACATATGACCTGAAACTTTGAAACTGCTTAGAGGAAAACATAGGCAAAATAATTTAAGACAATTGTGTAGGCAAGCAGTTTCTGGAAAGAACTCTGATAGCACAGAAAATAATCCAGAGAACTGACAAATAACATTGTATGAAATTCAAAAGCTTTTCTTTAGAAAAGGAAGCGATTAACAGAAAAAGTAGCCCACAAATTGGGAAAAGTGTCTTGCTAACTATACATCAAACAGTGGATTAATATCTAGAGTATATAATTTCAAAAATTAAATACCAAAACTCATAATCTTCAGGCCAGTAAATAAACGTAGTGCTTTCCTAAGATAATAAGATATTTGATATGGAAATTGGGCATAGTGGTGCACACCTGTAATGACAGCCCTTGGGCGGTTGAATAAGAAGAACCATCAGGTTTAGCCCAGGCTGGGATACATAGCAAGACCTTTTAGCAAAAACCAAAGAGAAATAAATGTCTGCTATTGGGAGTTGTGTTGCTTTCATTTTTCTATACCTTGCTACCTTGTCTTGTTTGATTTTCATTGCCCAGGCTTACTAATTTTATAGTTTTTTAATATAAATAGCACTTAGGTGGTATGAAAAACCAGAGGGAAATGTATTAGTTCAAAAACCTAATATATATATATATAAAAGCACAGTGCCAGGCATGGAAACTTCCTTTCAAGGTTTTGTTCACGGTAGTCCAAGAGATTCTCTAAATACTCTAGGCTATTGCTGCAGCCCTTAATTGCTTCCCAGAACTTGAAGTTCAGACCCTACTGCTAGACAAGACATACCTCAGACAAAGAACTTGGAACAAACAAACTGGAACTGACCTGGAAGCATTCTCCCTGAAGACTAGTTCCCACAGTATCAAAAGATACTATGCAAACTGCCAAGGGAGAAAACCAATAAATGATCCCATCCAGCTGTAAAGTCTACAAACTACAACAATGACCAGACCAGAAAACACTGTCTACTGATATAGCAGTGGGACTTTTATCTTGGGGGTAATCAACACTTGTCTAACTGGACTTAAGTCTTGCTCAATAAAAGGGAACTTATGTTTCTGTAAACATAACCAAGTTCACATGGCTGGAGATGGCATAAACTCCAAAGAAAAACCTACTTTTGTCACATCCCTAGACCAATATAATGTCTTACTATATTCTAAAAATGAGTCTTTATATTTACAGACAAGTATGTATCTTACCACTTGTGCTGGATAGCTTTAGCTGTCAACTTGACAGACCTGGGTTGAGGGACCCTCAACCGGGGAATTACCTCTATTGTACCGACCTATAGCTAAGTCTGTGAGGCATTTTCTTGATTGTTGAGTGATGAGGGAGGGTCCAGCCCACTGTGGGCAGTGCCACCCATGGGAAGGTTGTTCCGTATTGTATAAGAAAGCAGGCTGAGCCATGTGTGGTGGCGCATGCCTTTAATCCCAGCACTTGGGAGGCAGAGGCTGGTGGATCTTTGTGAGTTTGTGGGCGGCCTGATCTACACAGTGAGTTCCAGGCCAGCTGGGGCTACAGGGAAATCCTGTCTCAAAAAGACAAAAAGACAAAAAAAAAAAAAAAAAAAAAAAAAAAAGAAAGAAAGAAAGAAAAAAGAAAGCAGGCTGAGCATGGGCCAGGGAATCAAGCCAGTAAGCAGTGTTTTTCCATGGCTTCTGCTCCATCCTCTGCTTCCAGGTTACTGCTCTGAGTTCCTACCTTGGGCTCCATAGGTGATGAACTTTAACCCGTGAGATGTAAGCCAAATAAACTCTTTCCTCTCAAAGTTGGTACTGGTCAGAGTGTTTTGTCACAGCAATTGAAGGCAAACTAGAACACCACTCATCAAAGAAGCTCTTTTTTGCAACAAACGAAGACTCATGAAGTTCCAGAACTTGTTAAACACAGAATAATTATCTTTGAGGACCACAGGCCCAAGTGAAACATCTACAATGCAATCTCAACACCTGAGGCCCAGGAAACACAATGGAACACAGGGCAGAAAGAATGTTAATTCATCTCTCAGCTCTCAGCAGTGAAGCTTCCTCATGCTTCAGATGGTGATTAACCCAGAATATCACAACTGCCTGAAATGCAGAGAATAAAAGACGTAGAGAACTTGTCCCTGAATTGTTAACCTACATCAAACCTCTGCCACCCAAGACTCAGGGATCATTGAAAAGGAATGGGCAAAAATATTGTAAGAGCTAGAGGTAGTGAGTAGATGCCCATAAGGAAACAATTTGCCAGACAGCTCCTAAGTTACTTATATAAACTCACAGCAATAGTAACAGCATACAAAAGACTCAAACAAGCTCAAGCCAGATAATATAGCCCAGCATAGAGGTGGAAACTATTGGAACCGATAACTACTGGGAGAGGGAGAGAGTCGGTTTTCCTTAAAGGTGTGACACTAGATAGGTTAACCAGTCTCCAGTGGATGGATACACACCTAAGGACAGTTAGGGAAGTAAACGTGGCTCAATAGGCCTTAATACATATGGCAGAGTACATGAAATTCGGTGGGGGGCTATAAGAGAGGCGCAGACAGGGGAAGGGCTCTAAATGTGATCAAAATGTATGAAATGCATAAAATTTCAATAAGAAGAAAGCCCTTGTTTTTGCTTTTGCATTGGTCTGCTAAAGTAATTTGAGATACTATATATCTTTGTTACATGCTGTCGGAAAGTTTTATTAGGATGGGGAATTTGATTCTTTTGATGCATTTTTATCTTGTAAAAAATAAAATGGAAGAGAAACCACCATTATTTGTCCCTGAGCCTGCTGTTTTGTTTGCACAGCACAAACTGAAGCTCTTGCTCAGCTTCCTTCACCTGTGTCTTCACAGGCTTCAGTTTCTCACCTCCTTCCTCTCCCCACACAGGTCCCACCTTATCAGCACTTCCATCCCACACTACCTTGGGCAAAATAACTCCCATCTTCACAGTCTGCAAAGTGATACCTCATAGTGAAGCATATACTGTGTTCTTTGTAATTTTACTGTCTTCTTATACTAGTTAAAAATTCAACATTTCTGCTTAATTCATGGAGTTATTCTGAGAGGAGTGTGTCAGATATAAGATATGGTGAATAAATATTTGTTGGATGGATGATTCCTTGAGTCAGAAGTACAGATAGTGAGGATACTGAAAATGGAGAATCACTGATCTTCCTTTAGGATACCACCAAATCTCTTCTCTAATAAATGACAAAGCCTCAGCCTCAGCCTGAGATTCAGGAACTCTGGAGCAGAAGCCAGGACCCAGCATTACTAACAGTGTTCCAGTTAACCCCTCATGCTACTAGTGAGGGGACCATGGTTTGTTTTAATGAACTAAAAATTTCTACCATCTGAAACTCTATTTCTTAAAAATTTGTTTAAATTATTTATTGAAGCTCTTTTTACTTTTAAGAATTAGCAGTACCTTCCTTCCCAAGCTATAACTCCTTAGAATCACTGTCTGCTGGATGAGTAATCAAAGGAATTGTGATTCCTAGAATGAGAATAATAGAATGTACTTTATTACATACAATGCCATTGTTCTAATAGAAACTTTTATTTTTTTAATAAATATAAAAACAATATGGTAAAATCCACATACCCAAAGTTAACATCTTAATTATTTATATGTTCAATTTTGAGCTACATGCATTAATTCTCTGGAATAGATTGTTTGAGACCCTCTTTTACCTTTCCAAAATTATGCCTGATGCTGGATATAGCAGTCGTAGATGGATTGAAAGTATAAATGCTTTATTTCAGGAGAGTGTTTCTTGATGTGCTTTGTGCATGTAAAGCAAATGATAGTATGACCCAAAGCTATCATGAAACAGTATTAGGTTCTTGGATTCAGAATATTCAAAATTATACCTGTTTTATATACTCTGAAGGGCAAAAATGCAGACGTTCGGCTGCATAAAGCATGTAGCTGATTTTGGTGGGACAACCCTTTTAGGTTGATGTGAAGCATAGCAATGCTCAATATGACATGCTTCATGTTTTGGTACCTGTGCTACCTACATTTAAGAGTACAAATCAAAACCGATCAGGTCACTCTATCATGTCTAGAACTGCTGTATGAGTTTCTTGGGTAGCTCTTACAGTACTTGCTTTCTTTACAGAATACAAAGATAGTTATTCACATAAAATCTCTCCTAATACAGCTAGGCTACAAAAACCATTCACTTGCAGACAAACACTATGCTATCATCAAGATGCTACAAAATAAGAAACGTTATAATATCACACTGAAAAGAATTGCTTTGTGCTTTAAATGCTAACAAGTGAATGCCTCCGTCTATACTTTTCCATCAGTCACTGCATTGTTCAGAGCAGTAGGTGACAGTGTAAGCACCCATAAGTATTTTATTCAGAGGAGGATAAGAAACATAAAGAATATGATGCACAGGTAGGTAGACAGGTTGATTTAGTAGGGCCAGGGGCCTGCTGTTTCTCAGAAACAATTGTAATGGCTCTATTATGTAATGGAACAAAGGTATTTCAAAGATTTATGACAAACACATGCTGCAGCAAAAGTAAATTAATTACTAAATTGATTTATGTAAACCCTTCCCAGTATTCTTACTTGAGGGCAGATCCCTCATTTTGGGGATATAGAAACACTCCCTGAAGTGCCTCAGTTTATCTTCCTCATCCAAGCGGAGAGCTACCTGCTCATCTGTTGGGTGACATTTGAGTTCAGTTGCAATACGTTGCAAGGCATCTGCTGGCGGCTCAAGAGGTGAGGGCTCCATTACAAACAGTTCTGTGAAAAGTAAACAAAACGACGTCATAGTCTAGCCACCTGGTTCAATGCTTTTACACAAAAATTCCATTTTGCATCGCCGGAAATAATAGACTTGTAGCCAGGAGTGGTGACATACACTTGTAATTCCAGCATGAGTGAGGAGGAGTAGCAGGATTGCTGAGTGTTAGACACCAGATTGGCCACACAAGTAGTTCCAGGCCACGAGGGACTACACACTAAAACCCAGCCCTAAACAGACAAACAAACAAAACAAAAACATAGGGCTGGGTAAAGACACGTGTTACCAAGTCTGAAGACCCGAGTTTGATCCCTGGGACCTAACCTACATGGTAGAAAGAGACAATTAAATCTGGTAAGTTGTCTTTTGACTGCCACATGTGTGCCATGGCACATGCTTCCCCCCATAAATACATAAAATATAACTGATTTTTTTAAAAGAAAAAGAAAATAATAAAATTAAATTACAAATAATGTATATTAATAATATGGTACCTTCCCCAATTTACTCTTCACTTTATTTTGGACATAGAGTCTCTCACTAAACCTGGAGCACCAATAGACTAGACTGCTACCTAGGATCATCTTGTCTCCATGCCTGCCGTAGGATGAGGATTACAGACGCAGGTTGCTACACCAGGTACTTTACTGAGTAAATCATCTCCCCAACCCTGTTCATCCCACTCATTTTTAAAAGAATATATTTATTTTTATTTTATGTGTATGAATGTTTGCCTGTGTGCCCACAGAGGCCAGAAGGATCACAGCTTACAACAGGAGTTACAGTTTTGAACCACTATATAGGTGCTGGGAACTGAACCCAGGTCCTCTGCAGGAGGAACAGCAAGTGCTCTCGCCACTGAGCTACCTCTCCAGGCCCTATTCCACTCTTACCTAAAAAGTAGACCATACCTCAGCAGTTTTGTATGACTTTCTCTAGCTATTTTACTAAGATTTAACAATTAAGAAACATTTTGAAAGTGGAGACATGAAATGTTCCTCCTAGTTTGCCATCTCCCTGTCCTGCTCTACTACTCAACTGCAGTGGATTTTACATAAGTTTTTAAACTTTGGACATAGTGAATCATAAAAAGACTCTTTAGTGTATTTGAAGATGATGTTGATAAAAACATAACTTTAAATGTCAGCATTTTTGCCATATGACACCAGATCAATTCAATTGCCTGCTGCTGCTGGACCATCTGAGAACAGGCAGAATCCCACTGTTTACTGAAACAACATTCTACTCTGGTTCATAATCATTTAGAACTTTCCAGTGTTTGGGAAAGCACATTTAACCTTTCTGAAGGGGCATTTTTTATTTATTATTATAGTATGTGCAAGGTATATATGGGGGCATACACATGCCACAGAACATGTGTGGACATCACAAGCCAATGTTCAGGACTCAGTTCTTTCTTTCCTCTGTGGGTTCCGGGCGTCAAACTCAGGTCATCAGGCTTGCACAGCAAACACTGTACTGGCTGAGCTACCTTGCTGGTCCAACAATGGCGATTAAACCATGTACTTTAACTTGTTGCCCAACTCATTTATATTTCTCCTAAATTTTAAGGTTTTGAAGTTGAGCAAGAAAGGTGTTAGAGATAAATTCTCCCTGCTTAGGTTAACTTGATTTACACATGAAAATTCTGTGTAACAAAACCTATGTATTCCTCTTTTAAACTTTTAGAACAACTATTTGTTGAGTTCATGCCATGTGGCTCCTGAAGGGTACAAAATAAGATACCATGTACCATTAGAGGCTCATCTTGCACAGGTTACTTTTTGTGAAAGAACAATAAATGCTGTAATTTCAGATAGATTTTTAAGAGTTAAGGAGAAAGAATAGTGGGATAGATTTGCTGGGTATAGATGATCTACCTAAGTGGGGTCACATGCATTTTTCTGATAAAGATTCAAGAGCATTTCTGAATCATATTAGGAAGTCAACCATAGGAAGATCTCAGTTTGAAGGAAGACAACGGTCCTGGGGAAGAGGTGGGCTTGGCCTTCCCAGCTAATACCTAAGGGTGTTGGGGGAGATAGAGTGATGATACCTTACTGGGGAGAGTATCTGGAGGCAGAAGTTAGGCATGGAAAACTTTTACAGCTAAAATGGGCTTTTGGATACTTTTCTAAATTGAATGGGGCTTGTTATTCAGTATAACACTGGCGAGTTTTGAGTGAGCAAATGGTATGATGTAGTTTTTCATTAAATGAAAATTATTATGCACTATGAATAAGTATAAGAATTAAAAGGGGGCTGGTGAGCTGGTTTACAGCAGATAAAAGTGATTACCACATGCCTGACACCCTGAGTTTCAGTCTCGAAACCCAAGTTCAAAAAGCAACATGTGGTGGCACAGGTCTGTGATTCCAGTACTCCTGCAGAAAGATGGAAGGCAGAGACTGAAGAATCATGCAGAATCTTGTAGGCCAGCCAGCTTGGAGTATGTAGCACAGTGGAAGGAAAAAGAGGGAACCTTCCTCAACAAGGTGAAAAGAGAGAAGGGACTCCCCAAAGCTGTCCTTCACCTCTGGTCATGCACCATGGTACATACTTACCTGCACTCACACACATGAAACCCCCCAAACAAAGAGAATTTAAAGGAGAAACTTTTACAGTTACAGCTATTACAGTAGTTCTGAGGACAAACTTGGTGGATTACATTTGGCTGAGAAGGAAAAGCTAGACATAAGAGTGTGAATTCATGATACATTTGGGGAAAAAGTAGATAGGACTACAAACATTTTTCCTTAATGAGAGAAATCAGAATCCTAGACAGTACGTATTAAATTCCTGTCAAGCATTGTACCTCTAGGGAGCGATGCAAGGAGGCCCCTGCAATCTGAGCCTGTTGTATAGTACGCTAGGTGCTTTTTACCTCGGACTCAGCACGTAGAATTTGTAACACATGCAGTTCAAATTGACATGGAAGAGGTTTTAGAATTTCATTTTTATCATCTGCCATTGAACCTTGCTCTCATCACACTCTAACAAATATACAGTCCTAACCAACAGCTGTAAACCTGAACTTTATATGATGCCATTAAAACGCCATTCCTCCTGTACCCCAATTGCATTTTCCCTGTTCAACCTTTCCATTTCTCATTTGCTAATGGTGTCCCATTCCTTATATTCTTAATTAAGGGTGCTGAACATTACTTTTGGGTGTCTTAGTTTGGATACCAGTTTTATTTACTCTTCTTTAAATTTGTCATTTTCTACTAAAGTTAGTGATTCTAACATTGATGTTGATGGTGCTTTCAATATCTGTCCATACTGTTATGTGTCTTTCTCATGAAACTATTCTTGTGAATTTTCTCGTTCCACATCCCTTCTTTAAGATGTGCTGCTTTCCTTCCTATATGCTCATATCTTGGGTACCTCTCAGAGCCCTGAATCAAATGCCACATTTTTGCTGAAGTTTGTTATGATGTCTTTGCTAAAAGCAATCTTCTAAATTCCAGTAGCATCTATGAGCACACATCTTACCATAACTAATACATTCTGTCAGGCACTATATTTAGTTAGATCCATGTGTGGATGGGGAAGATAGAACATGTTTGTCTGTCTACAACTTGATTTTAAATTGGTCCCTACAGGCAGTTTTCTGATAAAGGAAACTTGGATAGAGATGACTGTGTCTCTCTCCCTTGTCCTGATTGGGTTGCCTGATCACAGGAGATTACAGCATGCCTGAATGTTTGATAGTGCATTGTTCTGACTCAGAGTAATTTGTTGCATATCTAACCAGACAGAGGACATGTCATTTAGCTGAGCATAAAACCAAATCCTTCCAGGAGTCTGAGCTGTGAGTCATTCAGTTAGAAATAAAATCATGGATTTCAAAGAATCAGAGAGAAGTTATGGACTACTAGGTCCAAGAGCGTATGGTCACAAGGGACTCATTTTTATGTGCTCAGCAGGACAGAACTACTGATTATTAAAACATGGCAAGTATGCAGTGGTTCCGGCAGCAAGATCACTGAGCAACACAGCGGCTGGTATTAAACTGCTATGGCTCCTAACAAACACAGCCCAGTCCTGCCCATACTTTGTGCGGCAAACTCTGTGAAGAGCTCTGTGGGCCTGTTTGCTCAGCTATTTCTAAGTTTCTCTGAGATGTTCTTTGTCTTTACTGTGGCACAAGTCCTTACCACACACCTGCTACAATGGCTTCCCTGAGTTCTTGTTGGCTTGTGTATCTATTCTACCATGGCCGCACTATGTTTATTATTATGGCTACCACATTCCTGACCACCGTTGTGTAGATAGGTTATTTCTTTACAGAAAGAACATTTGAATAAGGGAAGAAACAAAACAGCTCAATGAATTTTTTTGACGTGACGATGCACTCTCTCCTTTACCATGGGAAACAGAGAAATACTTCTGGTTAAACTCAGAATCTCAACAGTTTACCTTGTGTTTGGGACTTTCTTAGCAGAGTAGATCCCTTAATACTGCATTCGGGATAACCAAATTCTAAGTGAGTTTACTTTGATATTGAGATTAGTTTACTATTATCACATTCTGGGTAATATTCAACTATCTTTCTTAAAAGTATTCGTTAACACTGGACAATCTTATGAGGTTACAGTTAAATTTTAGTAACATTCCTTTACTCTGTGAAAACCTGGTGTAATATCTGAAAACAAAACTTGGCATGGTACTTAATGTTTGTAATCTCAGCAGTAGAGAGGCTGAGGCAGGAGGATTTCTATGAGTTCCAAGTCACCCTGGGCTATAATGTGAGTTCAAGGACCCTTTGAACTATCGCATGAGTCCATCTCAAACATAAACAACAAAAGTTAAAAAAAAAAAAAACATGATTCTGGTTACTAACATATATTTTAATATACAACAAAACAATATGGAAAAACAATGGGTAATAACTTATATGAGCAAATTTGGAGACTTTTTAAAATGTGATAATTGAGTGATAGACTTATTTAACCATCAAATTAGCAGCTGCATCTAATATGGAATTAGACACATAGCTCTTAAAGAAAAACTAAGATAAAGCTCCCATCTTGATGGCAACATATGTAAACAACATAGAAAGTGAATCATGTTGGCCAGAGTGGCACATATTGCAAGTGTCATACTCTTGGTCAGGCAGAAGTTGGAGGATCTTATGTTCAACCGTCAGCCTGGGCCACACAGGCAGACCCTATATAAAAAAAAAAAAGTTAACGTCTTTATATCTATATCTTATTCAATTCTTATAATAAACCTGAGGAATTTAGAGTTATTTACCTAAACCTGAAGGCCAAGTCCTCAGAGCAGATACAAAAATAGGGACTGAGTGTTTATCGTGAATTCTGTGTGACAGTATGTGCCAAGCCAAGCTTCTCTCTGAGAAGGCTATGGGAAAACCCACAGAGAAAAATCCTTGCTCAGAGACTGTGACCTACTGTTTTATATTTCTGTGTATCCTGTTTCCTAATTTTTAAAAATTAATGTCTTTAGCTCATTTCCTTTTTATTTGGTTTCTTGTTTCAGTTCCCCACAAAGTCTACACAGCAACATAGTTTACATGTGAATCAATTATTCTTTATATATATATATATATATATATATATTTTCAATTTTGAAACAGAATATTATTATGTAGCCCACGCTCGCGTGACACACACACTCCTCCTCCTTCAGCTTCTCAGAAAAAGAATTGTATT